GGTGTCCGCTGAGATAGGCCCCACCAAAAAGTGATATATACATATGTATATATATATATATACATATATAATATATATGTATATATCACTTTTGTTTTGTCACTCAAAGTTCACAGGAGTCCTATACACTTTACTCCTTTTTCTACCCAACATTGCATCCCAAAACCTCGTTCTCCAAGTCACACCAACATGCATGCACCCATGTCCAACTGTGGGCACCTGTCTCTGTCTTTGCAGTGACAAGGGCAGGGTGGGATGCATGTTCTCATGTATACCCAGGCGCTTTATCTAGTCATCAGGCAACCTAAAGCAAAGCAGATTACACGACGCTGGCGACGTTGGAGTCAGCGAACAGGGAAGAAGAAAAGTGGGGACGAATCTCTTTGGATTTTGCCGTCCAATACTTTCACTTTGCTCATCTTCTCCTCGCACCACCGCAGCTGCTCTTGGCTGATCTCAGGCATCCTTAGGACTCTGGACACGATCTTCATGTCTATTAGACCCATCAATATCTCCATATCCTCTTCTCCTTTTCGCTTCTTCTTCGTCAGACACCTTCTTCGCTTCGAGAGATCCTTAAGCCTCGTCTTGTTCTGAAATGAAGATATCGTGTCCGTATGAGTATACAAGGAAAAAGAAGAGCAGAAGTAGAAGAGGCAGTGCATGAATGACCCACTTTCTTATTAGTTCTTTTGAGAAGACGAAGAAGATTTGGATCCACCGAACTGGGCTTTGTCTTGAAGAAAGCTTTGAGCATTTGGCAAGGATTCGCCGTGTCTGCCTTGAGGAAGTTCATGAAGGTTCGAATCGCATCTTCGAGAATCGCCAAGAACTCGGTGGATGAGATCATTTCTTCTGTACCTTCATCTGCTCCTGTATCCTTTGAGGTCAGTGATGCAGAGAGAGAGAGAGAGAGAGAGAGAGGTTAGCACTTGGGAAAGTCTAAAAGATAGGCAACGAGGCAAAGGAGACAGGTGTGTAGCAACCTCGGAACTCAGGAACTAGGAGCAACTTTGGAGAAGAAATCCGCTTCCACGCGAAGACTTGGGGCCTCCGACCACGCTCATAAGGCTCATTTTCTATGAATCGCTGCAAGAGGACCTGGAACTGTTGGAATTGCTGAGCTATCCATGCGGTGCAAGAAGAGCTTTCGCTGTCTGATCCCTTGGCAATCTTTTGCCAAAAGTTGGTGTAATTCCAGTTAAGAGCTTCCCATGCGAGGCAAATCTGAGACACATAAGCACCCTCCAGTTCTTGATACGGATCCCTGCTTCCCCTGTTCTTGTGTGTTGTAAATATGTGAGCTATCCTTTGCGAGGTTGATCTTGGTTGGAACTTCATCGATCTAAACAATTCTGAAAATTACGATATACGTGATCTTGTCAATCCGTGAACCAAATTTGTTGAGAGAGGATGTGAGAAATGCATGACGAGTGACCTGTTTCCGTCAGCTTTTGTGCGCTGATTCTATCGAAGAAGATCATCTCCTCCTCGTACTTGCGGAACAAGGTGTACGTTTCCCAGTTGGAAGAACTCCTGCGTGATGAGGAGGACAAGGGGCATTCTGTCTCCGAGTCCCTGAAGATCGTGGAGCTTCTCCACTCCATAGAGCTCTTGGATGTCGATGCACCTGTGAGAGAACCACCGAACGTGTCCTCCTCCAGCTGCAACCTTTTGCTGTCGACAGAATGGGTTCGGTCGACGATGAAGAGTTTCTCCATCTTTGACAACTCCTGCTGCTTCTCATCTCCATTGCTGTGGAGCGCATCCCCACCCGTATCTTCATCTGTAATCAACAGCATAAGCAATATCAACAGAAGGCTTTATGCTTCCAACAAGTAGCGGCATCTAAAGGGACCTTTTAGAGGCCCATTAGATATGATTGAAGGTGGATGATTCGATGGTTTTAGGTCGACGATCGCCACAACATCGCCATGCTCGAGCCCGAGACCTTCATGCTCTTCCAGAGGGGATTCTGCGACAAAGCTTTCGTCGACTTTGAAGGCGTGTCGCTCATCCAAGTCTTTTGCTTCTTCGAGAAGTGGGGTATCAGCAGTGATGCTTTCGTTGTAGAAAAACAGTAGGCCGTCTTCCCTGCCAAAGATGCTGGCAGCTAACTCTTCGACATCAGAGTAGCACTCGTACGTTGTTATGGGCTTGATCTCATCTTCGCTGATGAGCTGCGAATTCCTGCAATAGAAGGTTAGTAAAGAGACAGCAAGAAAGAGAGGATCAACGTAGTTGAGTACCTTTGTTCTGTTGAAGCGGCAACTCTTTCAAGGAGGAAGGTGAACAGCTTGGTAAGGAGGAAGGTGACGAGGTGGAGGAGGACGAGGAAGGCGGAGACATGGAAGACAAACATCACAGCCTAGTCTTGGGAGGTTTGGCCATGTCAAGAGAGATGAGAAACTGGTTCGCTGGGAGCTTGCAGGCCAATCACTCGGAGGAATGCAAGGGGGAGACTGCTGGTGTTCATTTATGAGGGTGGGGTGGTGGTAATGTGCGTTGCAGCGAGCACGATGAC